ACAAAACAAAATAGACTATGTCATAAAATGATCTAACTCATTCCAACTTAATTGTGTAATTTATCCAGCGTCTATAATATTATTTTCAATTCTAAATGCACCAAATTGTACTACCACAAGTGTCATTCAGTACACGCATTGGCAAGTAAAGCCAATTCAACACCCCTGTCAAAAACTTGTGTCTATTTCCACTTAATCTTGATACTTTATATAGACTCATTTAGAGATGACATTAAGCTAATACTTGAACATTACCCAATTTATAGATGTTTTCATCTCCTTTTCATTATTAAATTTTTAAACATATATGTACCTTATAAGGATTCGAGTATGTCCGATTATACATTGCTAATTAACAACTAAAAATACCAGAGCGTCTGTTGGTGAATATCTTACCCTTAAATAAACCGAATGCCAACGATCATCGGAACTCTTTTCATCTCAACTATATTTCTTTTATAATTATGTTAAACATGTACGTATTTCTTCTTTTCTTTCCGTTATCCTTCTTTAAATTTTGTTAATCACATTTTTTCTTCTATTTCTCTGGTCTGGGTCATGTCTATGTCTACTCACTCATACACCACTTGCATCCTGGCATAACTTAACTATGCTTATATGTAAAGGACTCACTCACTGTGTCTCGTCGTTTTGATCTCGAATTAAATGGTATTGAAACAATCTGGCTTGAGGTTTGAATCAAGAGGAAACCTCTGCTGGTTGGTGTGTTTTATCGAGCTCCTAACTCCCTTAATTGCTGTCATCAATCCGGGACTCTATTGGTCTTGCTGTTGATACCGGTATAAAATACTTTAATCTTGACTACCTCAAGCAACAGTCAAAAGAAAAAAATGACAACCTCTCCATTCAATTTGGTCTCAATCTAATCATACATGAACCTACCCATTACACAGAAAATTCTAAATCACTGATTGACCTCTTCCTTGTCTCATCCTCTGACCTCGTTACTGCTAGTGCAGTTGGAGAGCCTTTCCTCGATCAAGATACCAGATATCACTGCCCAATATTCTGTTGTCTACGATATGAAAAGGAGCTGCCGCACACTTTTAAGCGTAGGGTCTGGAAATATTCATCTGGTGACTACAATCTCCTTCGCAACATGGTTTATAGATTTAATTTGACTGAATGCTTTGATTTCAATATCGACAAATGTGCCTCAAATATAACAGAAACACGTACTATTCTCTATGTGTGACACATGCATTCCGAACAAAATAGTTACAATCAGAACATCACAGCCAGCATGGTTTCATAACCATATCAGAAAATCAATAAGGCATAGAAAAATTGCATACGACCGAGCAAAGCGAACAAATTCAATCGAACATTGGTCAATATATAAACAACAACGTAATAAAACTATCCAACTTATCCGCCGCCAAGCAAAGCAGACTCATCTCGATAAAATCGCAGACTCCTTAGAAAACACTTGTAAATTAGACAAAAATTCCTGGCAAACTAAAAACAGTTCATTAGGCCGAATAACACGAATACAGGTATTCCTACACTCAAAGACGCATCACATATACATGTATATGAAACCAACACGAAAAAAGCCAATGCACGTAATAACTTTTTTCAAGCACAAACCAAACTCAGTGACGATAATAAACAGTTACCTAATACATTTCAAAACGCCAACTCGCCACAATTAAGCACCATCGACATAACGCCGTCTGAAGTTACTGATGCTCTCCGTCTTCTAAAAATAGGTAAAGCTACAGGTCCAGATGCTTTAAATAACATTGTCCTTCGTGAAGCAGCTGTTGAACTGTCAGTCCCACTAAGCACCCTTTTCAATTTCTCCCTGAGTAAAGGCAAACTCCCCACACAATGGAAACTTGCACATGTTTGTCCAGTGTACAAAACAAATGACCCTCAAGATGTGTGTAATTAAAGACCTATCTCTCTCCTCAGTGCTCTCAGCAAAGCTCTTGAACGCATCATACATCAGCATATCTTCAACTTTTACAAGGATCTAAACTTTTTCTGTCCTTTCCAATCAGGTTTTATTCTTAAAGACTCAACTGTTAATCAACTTACGTCTATAAATCACTCTTTCTGTGAAGCTATAGATGAAGGCAAGGAAGTACGAGCTGTATTCTGCGACATATCCAAAGCCTTTGACAGTCTGAGTCTGGCATCGTGGTCCGAGTAAGTGGTATTTCAGGTAAATTATTGGCATGGTTCCAGGACTATCTATCGGGTAGAAAACAGTCTGTTGTTCTGTCTGGTGTATATTCTGATACAGTCGAAATTTCTGCGGGAGTTCCCCAAGGATCCATACTCTGGCCTCTCCTGTTTCTAGTCTATATCAATGACATAGTTTCTGATATATCATCTCCAATCCGTCTATTTCCTGATGACACTACACTTTATATTATTTTTGATAACCCTCTCGATGCCGCTGATGAACTAAATACAAATTTGCGTAAAATCTCCATTTGGGCTGATCAGTGGCTGGTAACTTTTAATCCGTCAAAAACAGAATCCTTGATTATTTCACGAAAGAGAACTAAACCCGCACACCCCTCAATTTTTTTCAACAACACACAAATAATGAATATTACAAACCACAAACATCTTGGTATTACTTTTTCTAATGATGGCACATGGAGTGCCCATATAATGGATATCAAACCCAAAGCTTGGCAAAGATAATTCAAATTACTCTTGATCGAAAATCACTTGAAATTGTTTATATGTCCTTCATTCGCCCGATTCTTGAATGCGCGGATGTAGTGTGGGACAATATCACTGTAGCAAAGGCTGAGGAACTGGAGAGTATACAAATAGAGGCAGCAAGAATTATCACAGGAGCAACACAATTGGTTTCATTCGCAAAACTCTACAAAGAATCTTCTCTTGAACCTCTAAGAGATCGAAGACTGAAACATAAACTTATTCTTCTATATAAAATGATACATTTAAACACCCCCTTTTCCATCGGACCTCATCCCACCTGTTGTTGGAAACACTACCTCTTGCAGGCTTCGGAACTCGGATCATTTGAGAAACATACATTGCAATACACAGCTTTTTCTAAATCTTTCTTACCGTCAACTATCATTTCTTGGAACTCTCTTCCGTCTGACATACAAAATGCCACGTCTGTATCGGCCTTTAAACAAGCTCTGAATAAGAGCACATCAAAAACACCCTCCTTCTACTATATAGGTAATAGGAAGTTAGCTATTCAACACGCACGTCTTCGCATGCATTGTAGCTCACTAAAAGAACATCTTTACTCAAAAAACATTATAGACTCAGCAGCGTGTGCTTGTGGCGGAGTTGAGGATACAGATCACTTTCTCTTACACTGTCCGATTTAAACAAACCAAAGAGCGGATCTTCTCAGTAATATTTCACCAATCCACTCAGTTAATTTGGATATCCTTCTTTTTGGCAATGAATCCTTGGACAATGACACTAACTCATTTATTTTCACACAGGTACAAAATTACATTTCTCACACAGGTCGTTTCAAGTGATAAAAATCCCACTCAGACATGACTTGACCCTTGACCCTTTCATAAACTATTCTTTCTTTCTTTCATAAGTTCTTTGTTAAATATTAATTTCTGACACTTTTAAGTTTCAATTACACTCTACCAACTCACAATTTATTTTTTATTTATATATCTTTTTTCTCTGTAGTTTTCTCTAAAATATTATTACATATTGATTATTACACCATCATGGCAGCTTAGCACGATAGTCAGAAGCGAGGCTTAGCATAAGCTTTTAGCATTCTCCTCTATTCTGATAGATTACATAAGTACACTCTCTGTAATTATTCATGTGTACTTTGTATGATATACATGTATTATGAAATCAATTTATTGAAAATAAATATTGTTTAAACCAACTTTATTAAATGCCGTTTTATTGTTGAAATATAATTTCTGCAACATTAAAATTTTTGGCCGTCAGGTCGCCAACTTCACAAAAATGATAGAATAAAAAATCTCTGAAAGTGATTTTGTTTCTCTTTTTATATACTTTTAAATATCAAAAATAGTCTTAAGAACTTCATTATGTCCCGTTTTTATCATATTTATAACATTTCTACAACTGTAAAATTTCCGGCTGTTAAGATAAAAAAATTCTCAAAGTGTTTTTTTCTTTTTATATATCCTTTACATAACTTATAACTTAAAATAACAAGGATTGGCCTAAGAATATCATTAACTGCCGTTTTTATTGTTTTTATAACATTACAACAGTCAACTTCACACCATCAGGCGGCCAACTTCATGCCGCAAGGCCGCTGGACCGCCAGGCCGCCAACTTCACGCCGCCATGCCGCTGGGGCGCCATACCGCCAACTTCAGGCCGCTGGACCGCCAGGCCGCCAACTTCACGCCGCCATGCCGCTGGGGCGCCATACCACCAACTTCAGGCCGCTGGACCGCCAGGCCGCCAACTTCACGCCGCCATTCCGCCAACTTCAGGCCGCTGGACCGCTGGGCCGCCAACTTTTCACATCTATTAGATTCGATGATTTTATAGACAGGTGAAACAGTTCTTCAGCATAGAACAGATAGTTAGTTAGTTAGTTAGTTAGTTAGTTAGTTAGTTAGTTAGTTAGTTAGTTAGTTAGTTAGTTAGTTGACCACGTTTACAATTTATTACGACCAAAACTAAAACTCATTTGACTAACTACAATTGCATGAACATAAGTAATGAGTTATTAAAACTGTAACACGTAATGGTTAGTTAGTTAGTTAGTTAGTTAGTTAGTTAGTTAGTTAGTTAGTTAGTTAGTTGATCACGTTTACAATTTAATACGACCAAAACTAAAACTCATTTGACTAACTACAATTGCATGAACATAAGTAATGAGTTATTAAAACTGTAACACGTAATGGTATTAAACTTACACGTGAAAAAATAAATGTCCCTCCAATACTTCCATAGTACGGTTTAGCAGGGTTTACACTACAGTATTTAGCATATATTTACATCCAGATGTACAGCGTCGTTGGTCTGGATTTATAAAGTTAAACATTTTTCTTTTAAAATGACTCTCGAAGAGCAGACGAAAAATCAAAATTATAAGCTATGGATTAGAGGTTGTTTGGGATTTAAGAATTTAAGAGAGGGACTTGTTGAGACAGTGGATACTATCGTAAAAAATCAACACGAGGATTTTGTAAAAAATCTTACCAGCACAGAATGTGATAAATGCTCTTTGAAAACGCTTTTACCGAACCATGTGAAGGTTAACAATAAATGTCCAAAAGGAAGAACAAAATGTTTTTGCATAGTGCATTCTAAAAATCGGATGCCATGTCCGAATTCATTTTGTGGGAGTGTATACGACAGTATAGTCGCTGACCACTTGTTTTCTGAACCAACTTGGTCAAACACGGATCTGGCAAAATGGGGACACAGCTATTTTGAAATAGCGAAATGCTACATTGGTTCGTCCGGATATAAGGATAAACATACTATAGAGGAAGTAGACTGTAGTGCACTTTTAAACATTATCATCAATAACAGGGCATTTGAACGTTTATTATGGAAAGCAGCTCAAGATCCGTCAGCACATTTTATTCAGGTAATATTTTTATTGTACGGACAAATTGTTTACCTGTAAACACTGCTACTCAACATTGAGAACCATCTGCGGAATAAATAGCGATAATCTAACAACAAAAGAAAAAATATAAATAAAAAACAACAACAAAAAAACACTAAAAAAAAAACGAAGTGCAATTTGAGACCGCAATTCTACGGTGTTCCGTTAGGGCCAGCACGTTTTCTCTGAGAAAAGAAAGCGCGAAACGTGACAGTACGGTGGTGACCTTACGACAGTATGACGGTGACAATACGTCAGTACGATGGTGAAACACGGCAGTACGATGGTGACAGGCCATCGAATTGTCGTATTGTCACCATTATACTGTCGTACACAGTAGTTATTTCAAAACTTATTTTAGCTGGTTTGAAAAAATAAAGGGTTAACTTGGTTAGGATGGGGGTCACAAGTACAAATATACACCTCATGCATGTGTCTTTGTTCCTAATCATTTTAGATAAGGAACAATATTCATTTGGAAAATTATGTACATATACCAGTTTGAATCGGTTTTTAGCTCGACTATACGAAGTATATGGATAGCTGTCCTACTTGCCCCGGCGTCGGCGTCCGCGTCCAGATTTCAGATTTAAAGTGACATTATGCTCATATTTTCATAGTCAAGTTAAGCTGAATTGACGTTATATTTCAAACGATTGACTGTTAAAATGGTGTTTAACCAACAGGTGATATTTGAAAATGTTTAGGATAAAATTATAAATCTGCTTTTAATATAAAAAGACTGCCCCACTCATTTTATAAAATGAACGGTACACTTAAATTCTAATGGATATTTACAGAAAATTTCTTAGGAGCCGTGCGTTATTAATTGTTTTTGCGAATTTAATTAGTAAATCAAAAGAAATTATTGCAAAATGAAAACTTATTTATATATTCACATGTTCACGCACTATTTACCCTTGAATGGGCATAATGTCACTAATGTCAATATTTTTCACTATCCTATTTTCATTTCTTAAGGGAACAAATTTAAACATCAAATATATGTTTCTTATTATCAACCTCATCTTATGTGACAAGGTTCATAACTCTAGCACCAATATTTTCAGAATTATCTCCCTTTGACCTTAGAATTTTCCTTAGAAAAACTATTTTTACAGTTTCTTCTTTATCTCTTCAGGGATCAACTTCATATTTCAATTGTATGTTCCTTATTATCAACCACATCTAATGTGACAAGGTTCATAACTTTAGCACAATATTTTTAGATTTATCTCCCCTTGAACTTAGATTTTTACTTAAAAAAATGTTTTTTACTGTTAGTTCTTTATTTCTTAACGTATCAACTTCAACTATCAACTTAAAATATATGTTCCTTATAATCAACCACATCTTATGTGATAAGGTTAATAACCCTAGCACCAATATTGCAAGAATTATCTCCCCATTAACTAGATTTTTTTACTTGACAAATGTTATTTTTTGCTATAACTAAAGATAACTTCTTTACTTTTAAAGGTATCTACCTCAAACTTCAAATACTTATTCCTTATCATCAATTACATCTTATGTGACAAGGTTCATAACTCTTGAAGCAATATTTTCAGAATTATCTCTCTTTGAACTTAGAATTTTCCTTAAAAATACTATTTTTACTGTTTCTTATTTATCTCTTCAGGGATCAACTACATACTTCAAATATATGTTCCTTATCATCAACCTCATCTTATGTGACAAGGTTCATAACTCTACCACCAATATTTTCAGATTTATCTCCCCTTGAACATATAAATTTCTTTAAAAATACTATTTTACTGTTTCTTCTTTATCTCTTCAGGGATCAACTTCATACTTCTAATATATGTTCCTCATTATCAACCACATCTAATGTGACAGGGTTCATAACTCTAGCACAATATTTTTTTAAAGACATATCTCCATTTGAACTTAGAAGTTTCCTTATGAAATAATATTTTTACTGTTACTTCTTTATTTTTCAAGGGATCAACTTCATACTTCAAATATATGTACCTTATAATCAACCACATCTTATGTGGCAAGGTTAATAACTTTAGCACCAATATTGCAAGAATTATCTCCCCATAAACTAGATTTTTTTTACTTGACAAATGTTATTTTTTTACTATTACTTCTTTACTTTTTAAGGTATCTACCTCAAATTCCTTATCATCAATTACATCTTATGTGACAAGGTTCATAACTCTTTAAGCAATATTTTCAGATTTATCTCTCTATGATCTTAGTATTTTCTTTAAGAAATATTATAACTTCTTTACCTTTTAAGGTATCTACTTCAAACTTTAAATATATATTTCTTATCATTACTCACATGTTGTGTAAAAGGGTTCATAACTCTAGCATTACTATTTTCAGAATTATTCCCCCTTGAACTTAGAATTTATGTTAACAAATGTTAATTTTTTACTATAACTTAATACATATAAAATATACATTATTGATTTTTCTTTCATAGTTTTGTCTTTCTTACTACGTCCAGTATATTTTAGTCGCCTTCTGTGACAGCTCTTGTTGTTGATCTCTATCACTTCGGGTTTTTGTACATATATATTTATTTTTTAGATTTAAATTTCATTTTGTTTAAATCAATCTGTTAAATATTTTAATTTGTTGATGTTCTTTATTTTTGTATTAATATGTAAAAATGTGTAATATTTACATCTGCTTTTCATGTAGCTGACTTTCTTTTAGGACATTGTGCCAATTTTCTTTATAAAAAACAAAAAAGGATAAGGGCCTATGATTTAAGTAGTTGTCGGCGTTTTACTTTTACAAAAAGGCAACAATAATGTGTTCTGGAATTCTATGCAATTGTGTATTGTAACCAAGAATTAAATGAAAATGATAATCAAATAAAAGCAAGATTTTTCAGATTTAAGTTACCTACCAATGACATGAACATACAATAAGCAAAAACAGATCAGATTAAAAAAAACGAAATTCGTGACCTTGAAATGATTTTTTGTTTCATATTCTACGTTCATGCACTGTTTATTACCTATTATTACTGTTCTTGACCTAGTATTAAGAAATTTAGAAATGAAATGACATCTAGCCGAAAAAAGTATTATAAATAAACTGACAAAATATTTATACCTAGGTACATGTAAACTAGATACGTAAAATTTGACTGTTTAAATACATATTACTATTTCTTAACACTTTTCTCAAATAATAACAATAATTCTTTTGTATGTTTTGTCTGGGTTAATCTCATTGTTCCCAAATGTTATTTTTATTTTGTTTGTTTGTTTGTTTTTTTTTTTTTTTTTTTTTTTTTTTTTGGGGGGGGGGGGTTGTCATTATTGCATGCACATTCTATCATATGTATAGCAATGAACATGTTGTATGTTTATGCTGAATAAACTCTTGAAACTTGAAACTTGTTTAGATAAATTCTATGAAACAGTTTTTATTCAGTCTTTTAAACAAACCGTATTTGTAATTGATATTTTCAACGCTACACTGATTTTACAAATGGGTATCTTGTGTAATCTGTAATATCCTGCACAAAGATATTGCATCAAATTTCATGCATTTTGTAACAAACTATGATACAATTATAATTGTATCATAGTTTGTGGACCTTTCTTTTGAAAATGTGTCTAGTTTACCGTCTAGTTTTAATTTTATTGCTATTTAAAAATAACAGGTACCATATTTGTCATTAAATTTAGCATTATTCAGCCAATAAATACCATCTTTAATTAAATAATTATAATCACACACTTTTTTCTTCCCACAAGGGATATGAGTGATACATGAATAATGTTAAAAGAAAAATGAAAAGAAAAAAATTGACCCTTCTGGGGCTTGAACCCACGGTCCTGTGTTTCAATTAATTTAACAGTAGTTCTAGCCTATTTGAATACTCTTCAATGCGGAGGCAATGCATTAGGTTGGTCATACCTTAACGTTCATTCTAACGTTTGTTTGGTGAATGGTTGCAGCATATATATTATTTAAAGCTCTAGCAAGATGTGATTTTTCCTGATGAATCACAAAGTATGGATGATACAATGATAAGGGGTAATGGTGGCCTAATGGCTAAGATGTTTGCCTTTCAACCCCAGGATTGTGAGTTCGAGCCCAATTAGGGTCACGACTATGTTAGGGTGACTGGTTAGTTCGAGGGAGGGAGCGGACTCTATAGTGATTAGTATAAGTTGAAAGAACGTGTTTCGCAATCAAGCGTAAATAAATATGTTTAAACTAATAGCTTCTAAATTTATTAAGAGCCCTGGAATCATTTTGTTCAAGCAGAAAGAAATATATTTGACGCATTTTAGTGAAAGACGAAACGAAAATATTTACAGGGATATTGCTACGGAATGATATATACTGACCCCTTTATATATTTTATATGCCTGTTTAAAATAAGACGATACATGATTACAACAAAGTTCGTAATGTTTTTTTTTTTTAAATAATTAATATAGTTCATTTCTTTCGGTAAGTTTTATCTAAATGTATCAAGAGTTGAAGTATTTGAGCATACATTTGGCATATGCAGAAGTATATGGGACGTGCACCAACCATAGTTGACCATTAAGCAACAAGTTATTTCAGAAGTATGTCGCCGGACTCGACTGAAGAAAATTAAAAACTAATATCGTTCTTTATGAATTACGTTTTCGTCTATTTCGTCGTTAGCCGTGCTGAAAATATCAATCGAATCATGCACATATAATTGTTCAACCAAATAATCATGGCATTATTAAAAAAAATTGTCAAATGTACCAAAAAAGAAATGCCACTGTTAAACCTCGGAATTTGGAAATGGCAAATAAAGAGCAATCTAGATTCCTAGGCCTCAGACTACAGCCTATGTACCATCACATGTAATAGTTACCTTCCTTTTCCAAAGGAAATAAGAAAAACATACAACATGTTCACTATTAAGGCTAATGACCGACTCAAGGTCATTAGTTTACGAAGTATATGATTATCATGTTATGTAATTTTAGATACCGGTGTATGTAATTTTAGGCACGAGATGACAGAAATTACCTTTACCATTCACCAAACCTGGAGGTTTCCGATGACAAGCTTAAAAGCATGATTGATAATATGTTGAACCTGCTTACCCTACCCGGAATTATAGACACTGACGGAAAGGTGAAACAATCGAAGGAAAATATTCTTAAGGTAATTAAGGATAAATACGAAGACAAGTTGAAAGGAGTTCTTGAAATTTCAAAAATTCTAAAAACATAAAATATGAAAATCTTACATACATCAACTTGGGCAAATAAAACGGAAACAAATTGTAAAAGATAATGTTAAGAATTAAATTAAAACTTGATATTAAGTGCTACTTAATTTTAGCCCTATTTGACTTAAAATCGTTTCAACGTTTTTCACTAACACTTTAAAAAATATCTTAAAAATAGAAATGAGCAAAATGACCTGAAATTTACAAATAAGCTATTACATACAAAAAAAAAAACAACAAAAAGACACGCTTATGTAGACCACCAACGGGACTGGAGCAAAGTGGTTATTGATGCTAAGCGGTTTCATTAGTGGTTATTATTATCAAGGCTTATATATTTTATGACCACGGAGTAGTTTTGTATGAAAGTCTTCAAACAATATGTATTATAACCTCATGCCAAAAACAAAAAGAAAAACAAAACTCTGTGGAGTTCTTTAAAAAAATTAATCAACAACTATAGCATTGAAATTATATGCAAGTTAGAACTTTTTCAAATAAAATATTATGTATTTATACTTTACATTTAAAGCACGGAACAACTTAATTTCGATTTTTTGTTTGAATGGTCAACTGTTTTTAGCTTGTCTACGATCGCGAGTAGCAATATCTTAATTAGACGTTTCATACCAACAAATTATATTAAAAACACTCGAGTTGTAATCAATGATTTTTTTTTAAATAATTTGAATTTTCGGTACATTATTATGCATTAACCCTTTATCTCATTTAGACGTGTTTTGACGGCTTTTCGCTCCCCCCCCCTTTTTGAGGCCTCAAATTGTAAAGAAAATGCCCATTTTTAGGCCCCAAACGCTGTTTTTCGTTTTGAGAAATGTTGATAAAAATGATCACTTTTTCGGCACCGCCCCTATCTGTTTCGGGATTTTGAAGGGGTCGGCAGCCCCCCCCCCCTCATCGCAAAGAAAATTTTGGACATGTGACAGGCTAAAAAATGGCCTCAAGTCGATCGTAAGATAACGTGTAACCATTGCTGAAAAGCCTTTTACTCTATCTCAATCCATTGAAAAGTTGCAGCACTTTAAAATCAGTTTTGATGGAAACAAAAAAAAAAACAAAAAAAAAAAAAAAAACAATGCAAAATAGTGATTTTGGGCAATTTTGAGACGCCCCCCCCCCCGTTTCCATGTTAACAAGGAAATTTAAGATTGAGCATGCTGTTACAGAGTCTATAGACCAGTCAACATTTGTGCCAAGTTTCATCAGCAATTGAAGCATTTTTCATAGTTTCATAGCAGTTTGAACTTGTAACATATATGTACATTTACAAATATGACGTTTTCGGGTGATGTGTAAGTTGTTATATCACTTATCCCACATAACACTTAAGTCACAGACTTACACATGCCCTTCGTAATACGTACTTTTACGTACTTAACGCTCTTATTCAAATTATGTATCACTGTTTTCAGATAAGAAATGGCAGTGTAGATGTATCTCCAAGAGACGAAATAGATATTCAAAAGGAAATAATGAAAGAATTAAATTTAAGGAAACAGGAAGCTTTAGAAGAAATTCATAAAAGCAAACAAGAGTTACTAGATCAGCTGCCATGTCTAAAGGAACATTGTAAAGCAAAGGTAAATGATATTGTAGATAAACAAAATGCAACAGAGGCAGACATAGCACAAATAAGAGCTGAATTCAAGAAACATTGCGAAATGGTAGACAGTAACTGCAAGGACTTGGATTGTAAACAGAAGGAATCAGTATCATCACTCGCAAACCTGCTTGCTTATGTGAAAACTCTAGACACTCGATTTGGAGGATATGAAGCTAACCAAACAGCCATAGAGAATAAAATATCAGAAGTCAACCAAACCATTGACACTCATTTGATTGTCAAATTAGTAAGACTTATTTTTCTTACGGTTTTCGGGATCATTATTAAAGAAAAATAGTTTCATGTCCGTGGGGACATTTTGAATGAATTGAAGTTTCAATCGTATGTAAACTCGGCAAATATTGTCATAAAATACGATCCAATCAATGAAGCGTATCATACATGCACTGTGTTAAGATTTAAAACACTCAAATCATTTTCAATTTCTGATTTAGTAGGATTAAGTTAATTCGCACGGTTGTGCTGAAACAAACAGATTTAATGGAACTAATGCTAACTTCTGGATACTAAACATATACTTGGAAAAAAATTTCCGTCGACAATGTCTTCTAAACTGTCATTAATCTCTGTATTACTTTCCTTTTTCATTCATGAATTTATGCAAGAGTGCAAAAAGTGCACAGGCAAAGAAACGGGGAATTAATATCACACTTTCGATTTGGATCCGAATCCACAATTATGATTTGTGTTTCATATCGTTTTTTGTCAAGTAACTTTCGGCTTTTCAGATAAATGGGATATAATTACGAAACCCGAAAGTCCTTACGATCCATTGATACATTTATACGTTTTACGTTATTTTCACAGGATAAAGAGAATGAGAGGTCAATGTTTGAGCATGCATCAGCAAAACTTCGAAAAAGATACGAGTACACGCACAATAAAGAAGGTAACATAATTATGTTGACTGTCTGATCCAATTGACTTACTTTGAAAAAAGTGATCCAGTAACTAAAGATTAGTTTGGGAAAAAATGATTCAATTGACTAAAGATTACTATGAATGATGATTTCAAAGCGCAAAGTTTTTTAACGTCTTTTTTTAATGTTTTCAGAAATAGGTAGCTAATGCTTCATTAAAAAGATATTATTTAAGAAAAATAACTGTAACTGTATTTAAAAGTTTAATACAGCTATGTTATACAGTATAAATACCTATTTTTTGTAAAGTAGGAATACTTTTATTTTGAATCAATTATTGCAAATGGGCTTTTGTAGTGAACACATGTCTTTCATTTGACATGCCGACTTTCAAATTTACCAGACGCTACTGCCTAATGGCAAAATTTAATAGTATAGAAAAAAAACAACAAAAAACACTTCTTCTGTTCATCCTATTTATTGTTGTAGATGTGCAGTGGCGTAGCTTTTTCACAAATGCATTTTTTTTGCTTTGTTTTGTTCCGGTTTTTTTTAAATAAATCTTAGTTTGACATACTTAAATGTATAAATAAGTATTAGTTGTCAGTAACTTTTATTTATTTATGTTTTAGGGCTGCAGAAAAAACTTTGCGACTATTACAAGAGGTGCTTATCAACGATACCAGTGTCTCCGGTTTTAGAGGCTATTTCTGGGACGGTTGATGAGGTTTTTGTTGAGTTTTCAATTGGCACAAATTTGTCGTGGAAAGAAAAAGTTAACGAATATGAACAAGTCAATCTCTATAGAGAGATATTGTTTAAAAACGATAAGTTATGTAAAAGTGTGTATCTACTCGGTGAAGCTGGAATGGGTAAAACAACTTGGTGCAAAAAATTCTTAAATACCTGGGTAAATGCTTGTTACAAAAATCGTGGTAGCTGTAGGTCGCCGTTAGACTCAAGCGCTAAGGAAACAGATATTGATGAGGGCGGTGATGACATACGTTGTTTACAACAGTTTGATATTTTATTCTATGTTGCTTTAAGGCGAGAATCTAAACAGACTTTGATCACTGAAATGATTAAACGTCACCCTGTAGTCAGTGAGTTTTCGTTGCAAACAGTTGTTGATGATGTCCTCAAGTATGAGCCAGAATCATGCATAATTTTACTTGACGGCTTGGACGAATGGGAACCAAGTGAAGACGTTGACATTCCAAGTCGAGAAGGTTTGCGCGGATGTACTGTTGTGACTACAAGTAGAAAGTACAGACTTGTTGGAATAGACGAGGAGGACAATGCATTCTGTCCCGATAGGATTGTTGAAATGACTGGCGTCCGAAATAAAGAACAGCTAATAAAGAATGTGATACGGCAACTGAATAATGTTATGAAAAAAGGCAATATGGAAGGAGATTACAAACAGTTTATTAGAGAGGCAAAAGAAATGAAAGACAGGGATATTCCATATCAGCAAAGACTTCCAGGGTACATGGACATTCCTTTACTTTTAATCATAAGCATTTGCGTATGGTTTGATAAGGGTAAAATTGAAGATACACTATATAAAAACATGTGTGGAATTGTAGAATTTATGATAAGATATGGCGAAGGCTTTACGCAAGGGGTATATAGGAAAAAGAATAAATGCTCCGGTAAATTGGAAGGTATTGAAAATTTAAATGAACTGAAAAAAGAATGGACAAAACAAGTCGAAACGTTACCACCTAATATTAAGAACAATGATGTAATTGTACCTTATAGCGGATTGATATTTAAGTTGTCAAAGTTTGCGTTTGATACCCTTTTCAATGCCGAACACAGAAGACAACTCACATTTTCACAACCAGAGTTACTAAAGTTATTCAGTATTGATGAGCTTCATGTAATAATGAAGCTTGGACTTTTATCACAAAGTGAGGTCACAGAGTCGTCCCTTTGTCCAAAGACAAGTCTTTCTTTTATACACAATGCATTTCACTTATTCTTTGCAGGCATATTCTTAGCTAGCTCTCTAAAATTGTGTTCACTGATAAACAGAAATTCACAAGTTGTCAAAATATTAGCAGATTACTTCAAGGATCCAGTTGGAACAAATCTTTTCAGCATAGATGGCACAGTTCTTTTTGCATACAATATAAATCCTGTTGAAGGTAGTAAATTGTCAGAAATTCTATTCAAGGAATTATCTGCAAGTGAATACAATTCATATTCCGATTATTTCAACCAGTTCTTTTTGCGAAGTGTGCAAGTAGTGCACGAACATGATGAAGACTATCCATCTCAGGAATTTCCTGTTTATACGGAAATGATCTCTGTTCCGAAAAATCTGGTAAAGGGAAAAATGAAATATTTGAGTATACTTTTAAAGACAAATATAAAACATCTTAGATTTGTTGAAATGCCCGGTGAAGCAGCACCCGAGATTCTTGAAAATTTTAAAGATATGTTTCCTGCAGAGGCGTTAACGCTTTCTATTTATGACGTCAGTCAAAACACTCAATGTTCATCTGTTATAAAATCGTTACAATGTTTTCCAGGGCTAAAAAATTTAGAACTTCGTGGCATTTCGAGAGATTCCTCGCAACGGGAACAATATGTTTGTTTTGACCTCACGAACACTGTTCTCAAGAAACTAAAATTGAAAGGATTTTCAAATATAAAGATACTGGTTAGAAATCATACTGAAGTTTCATGTGATGACGATACTAAATATGAAATTGAAATTCAGAATGTTAAATAAACTTCTTTATGATAAGAATGTATTATGCATAGCTTTGGCAAATGTCAAGATCTGCAGGAAATTACTGGAAATTACGGAAATGAATTCACTTTGTGTCAAAGTCGTTCGTAATAACCAACAATTTCTGTAAACAATATCTTATAAGAGACATGGTGGATTTGACCAAAATTCACAGGACAGGCATGATACTCAGGAGGTCATACAAAAGTTTCAGGCTGATGCATAATAAAATCACAACAGCGACAGCTAAAAATGATTTTATTATGTCCAATGCTTATAAAGAAAACATAAAATGCGCATACTTTTGACATATGATGCTGATGGATAAATTAGGATGAACTAGTACTATTTCATCAAGCTTCTGACATTTCATGTACAATTTACACTAAAATTTTCAGTTGCTTGACCCGAAACCTGTAAAATATTGTTTTACCCAACTTAAAAAGTTTCTAGTCTTCAATAAAAGACAATAAAAGATACATATTTATAAATCTTTGTTGTTTAAATTTAATTAACATGCTTGTTCCTCATTATGATGTTCTTGTAATGAAGAAGAAAGAAAAAATAGTTTCAACACAGGAACCAATGACTTTTTTTTTTTAAATTTGGAAAAAGGGTGATCCCTCAGAATCAGTTAAACAACAATATTGTATGAAAATTGCAGATTTGATTTGATTTGATTGAGTTTGTTCATGACAGATAACGTCTCTCGAAGAAATCTTTCTTAAAGCACCATGTCAATAAAAACCACCCTCTTACATGTTACCGTTAATAAGTTTCATCAAGTGTGAAAACATGTTTGTAGATACAAAAATGTATCATACAACAATCCTCGTTAAAAGCTAAAATATTGTTTACTGAACACACATGGGGTCAATTACTTTGCAATGGAACTGATTTAAAAAAAATTGTTATTTCCTGAGGTTAAATCGCAAATACTCATTTTTTGTCATGTAATTGGTTAAATTGCAAATATTTTCAGAATATGATTTGACTTAACTACAAATTACATTTCAAAAATTTTTAATAAGTAGGTACCTCATAATGCGGCAAAAACATTAACGAGCAATGTTTGAATTTTGCTCTAAAATTTCCATCTTCTGGTATTATATCATTTGGCACTTCAAAATGTTTATGCATTGTACTATCCATTACAACCAAGCAACCAATCGAAACATCTTCATAACTTTATCCGAAGAGCCGAAATGTAACCGTTTAAATCTGCTCAGCCAGTATAATTCTGTTAACATAACAGTATTGAACATGTAATAATAAACTCCAAGCAGTAAATGGAAGCTGGAATATAACTGAACTTAGCCTAGGAAAGTGCACACTTTGTAACTGTATTGGTAGCATTGGTGATGAGAATTTCATTATCTCTTAGAATGTAAAGAGTTCACTAAGAAAAAGCATATAGATTTAAAATCTGTAATTTATACAGATGCGAAACATAAAGATAAGTACAAGCAGTTTTGTGAAATTACAATAAAAGTTGTTAATAGATAATGATGCAATCTGATTTACGTCTAAAATTAATACCATGATGTGCTATAAAGACCTGTCGCATATATAAAAATATACTATGCTCATCCTGGAGTAAAATATTCTTAATAGTAGAAATTAATTGAAATCTATGACATTCTGCCTAATATGTCTGATTTGAATTAAAGAATGTACAAACTGTATGCATTCCCTATGGTGGCTGATTTGTGCCATTCGTGTTTTCGCCCCACGACCCCGCCAAGCGAAATGTTAAATAAATAAAACTTCGCCGCGCGCCCTCGCTAATAAGTGTGTTTTCGTCCCGCGACCCCGCGAAGCGAAAAGTCGATAATTAACATGTTAAATGGCGGGAGCGCGCACCGAAAACACGCTAATTAGCGAGGACGCCCCCGACGTTTAAATTCTTAAATCTTGCCCCGCGCCCCGCGCGGCGAAGTTTTATTTATTAAACTTCGCCCCGCGCCCTCGCTAATAAGCGTGTTTTCGCTGCGCGCCCCCGCCATTTTAACTTGTAAATAAAACTTCGCACCGCGGGAGCGCGGTGCGAGATTTAAGAAATAAAACGGCGGGGTCGCGCTTCGAAAACACGATAATTAGCGGGGGCGCGGAGCGAAGTTAAATAAATAAAACTTCGCAGCGCGCCCTCGCTAATTAGCTTGTTTTCGTCCCGGGACCCTGCGAAGCGAAAAGTCGATAATTAACATGTTAAAATGGCGGGGGCGCCGAGCGAAAACACACTAATTAGCGAGGGCTCCCCCGACGTTTAAATTCTTAAATCTTGCCCCGCGCCCCGGGAGGCGAAGTTTTATTTATTAACCTTCGCCCCGCGCCCTCGCTAATAAGAGTGTTTTCGCTGCGCGCCCCCGCCATTTTAACTTGTAAATTTACGACTTTTCGCTTTGCGGGGTCGCGGGGCGAAAACACGAATGGCACAAATCAGCCACCATAATTCCCTACTATCGGTCAAGTTAAGTTGGTCCTTTCTTAACAAAAGCCAATTTTTTAATGACACTAATTATTTATAATGAATATTATGCGTAGCGCCTTAAGCTTAAGATATCTACTTTGTGTGTAGACAGTTAAACATGTTTATTCTATATTTACAAAGAGACTGTGTGGTAATTTAAAAAAAAAGATACTAGTTAATCATAAGTAATGATTTAAAAAATTCAAATTCGAGCATTGTATATCTTTAACGTTTTTACAACAATTATTTAGTAAGGCAATTTTTAGATAATGTTAAATGGATTCATGATGGATCTCTATACCAAAAAATTGTATTGGTAACATTATTGTTATTTGATATACAAAATACAAAATGTCTCTCCTTCCATAGATTATTATGTAAAATATGTTACAGCTGACGTTGTTAAGTTATTCATAAATTGAGTATTGAAATAAACTTGTACTTCACTTCAGTGTTGTTATATTTTCCTCGTCCTCTGGGATCATTGATTCCAGCACTATTAAGTGTTGAGAATTGAGTACTGCTCAAGCCGGTGCTAGGGGGCGCAACGCAAGAGATGTTGCACTTATTCATTATCCCTCATGTACAGACTTAATCAAACAGAGTCTGTTTTTTTCATGTAGTTTTGTTGTGATTAATGCTTCCAAGGGATCACTTTGTTTCCAGATTTGTAAATTTGTAATAAAATAGTTGCTTTATGTGTGTTGAGATTAATGAATTATTGTCAACAATACTAGCACTTATAGGGGATGGGGTGGCTACTGACAGTTTAGTTGATACAAATGATGTAAGTGTAATTAAAATCAATTATATTATACATAATTTTAATTGTAAGTTATTACTGTTCGATATCATGTAATTTAGTTTTACTTAAACTGTAATTAATTGTAACTAATTACTTAGTTATATGTGATTTAGTTATATTGCACGGAAATGTAGTGCCGTAGGATTAAAATTTATTTTTGATCAATTGTCTTGTTGTTAAAACTTAATTTTGATAAGTTGTCATAGTTTCAGTGTCGACGAATTGAGACATTCAACCAAATATTATGTTCGACAAATTGTCGTTTTCGACGAAATTTCGTGCACCGGTGATAACCATGCACTTACAGTGTCTTTGGTGGTAGAATTAAATAGTTATTCTTTATATCAATTTTGTCAATTGTTGTACTCAGATGTTTGCTTTTACAAAAGATAAAGATTCTCATCATCACACAATCCTTTTATAATCAGTTTACAAGACAATATAAAAAGGTCTTTGTTGAAACAGTCCTTTATGTACCTATTATCGTCCGTGGCCGAGTGGTAAAGGTCATTGACTTCAATCCACTTGCCCCACACTTCTGTGCTAGTGTTGATCCGAATCCCGACTCGGACTTGTGATTATTTCATGTGAGGAAGCTATCAAAGCAGTTAGCTTAAGGAACGTCGGTGGTTCTCCTCAGGTGCCTTTTCGTGTCAGAAATAATACACAGAAAAGCACCTGAGGTCTTCTTCAACTAGAAAAGCTGGAAATTTGGAGGATGTAGGAATCCCTGAATATAGAGCATCTAGTCGTCGCATTGTCTGTTCTTCAGTCCGTTACACTCTTTGTCTGGAGAATAACTTAAAATATATTAGATGAATTTGGTTAAAACTCCACAGCGTTAAGGTCGGTGAGAGGAAGTCTAGTGGTCAAGACTCATAAGTCTATCTCAATTATTTTTAATTATCTCCGTTCAGCTCATTTTTTTTGCCCGGGTATGACTTCTAAAATATAGATATTTCCCTGAACTTCACACAGTTTAAAAAAGTTTGATTTGCATTTAAAAAAAAACAAGAACAAAAACAATAAAATAATAATAATAAATAAATAAACTTACAAACATACGTTGTAGTGTTTGTATCATTATCTCTCCAATAATAATTTATAATGTTTGCCAGGATTTTTTTAAAAGCTTTAAATAAAGACTGTTAATGTAAACTTTAAAATGTCATATTAGGCTTATCTTAAGTACTATTTCAAACTTTTTTTTTATTTCATTGAAGGAATGGCAGTGAAAAAATAACCTTAACATGTTACTTACATACAGTACTGGTGGAATAACTGCAAACACCATCAATGTCCTCAGCCGAGGCCATCCGTCATCATGTGTTTCGACCCCTAGCTCGGTACACTCTCAGGATGGGGGGTCCACAGTGGTGATCAATCACTGCGCA